CCCTTGTATGCAAACTACCCGCCCCAGGGCGGGTGTAGCACTCACACCCATAATCCCAGCATTGGACCATGGATCAATTAAAAACTCTAGAAGCCCGCCCCATGACTGCATGAGGCTTTAGGGGGACATCTGGACACAAACCGTAATAGCTCCTCACTGGTTTTGCTGCCTTGGGAGAACACCAGAGCTGTCCTTTCACCCACTTCTAGTAGCACAGAACTAGGTTCCTGCCACTCAGGAGATCTGGAGCAAGGGACAGAGTCTCAGCTCTGCCACCTGCCTCAGGTGACCAAGTTACTGAAACTTTCCATTCCTCAGCATCCGAGGATGGGGGGGAATTAAAAGGAGTCGGCACAGGAGGTGTGATGGAGAAATACAGCGAATGTTTAAATTAAATTTAATATGGTAAGAGACACATGACCATGAATCCCCCTCAAAAAAACTCCCCTCTCATTGAAAACACATATCCCATGTCCTGCTGCTTTCCACAGCAGCTCTGGAGTCCTCTTTCCTGAGGGTCTTTAGTTGTGCTGTCCTGGCTGCCTCGATGTCCTGAGTGGGTTCAAAACCTTTCCCTTTCACGGTCATTTGGACTTTGGAGGAGAGCCAGAGCTCACACACGGCGCTGTATCTGGTGAATAAGGGGATGAAGACACAGTGTCGTGTTTTTATGAAGCTGCATTTCCACTGGATGGCACTGGCAGCAGCACTCATTTTGGACCACTCCTGCTGAAGGGTTCCTTCCTCTGCGCATCGACGGCCCCAGGCTACCGCATCGTCCATCCCATCCTCTTCTCCCTCCCTGGGCCCCTGCACCCTTGAGGGCAGTGCTCCCAGCTCCGAACAGAGGTTGGGCCACAGCCCATCCACACTGCTGCTGGGCTCCTTTCATCCTGCCCAGGCCCTTCCTCAAGAATCCCTGATAGCTTCCTTGCCGCTGGAGGTCAGATGCAAATTCCAGGACTCCACGTTCGCTTCCCCTGGCATGATCTTCCTCTTCCTCTTCTAGTGAGCTACTGCTCAGAGCTAAGCTCCCCAAGACCAGGTCCTCCGACCAAGCGAAGCTCCCAGCAGCTTCCCCTCTTCCTCCCCAGGATCTATCACAACTGTGCATAAATAACTGCATAAGTAATTAACTAAAGATATCTGAATCCCGAAACCAGCGCTGTGGGAACTTACTTGGGAAAAGGCACTTTGTAGATGCGACCGAGTTAGGCATCTTGAGAGGAGATCATCCTGGACGCTCTGGGGGAGTCCAAAACCCCAGGACTTTGTCCTTGTAAAAGACAGCCGGCCCCAGGAGGACGGAGGCAGAGACTCCAGCAAGGCAGCCCCAAGCCAAAGAGCGCCCATATCCACCAGGAGCTGGCGGAGGCAGGAAGGCTCCTCCTCCAGAGTGCTGGGCAGGCCCAGGTTCCGGACACCTCGCTCCTGGACTCCTGCCCCTCGGAAGTGTGAGGGCACACACGGTTGTTCCACTCCCCGGGTTGTGGTTATTTACGACAGCAGCCCTAGGGAAGCCGCTCAGATTCAGATATAGCGCATTTCACCCCACCTAAGTCTCAGAGGTTATGAAGAATATAAACTCCATTTACAGATGAGGAAACTGAGGAAAGTAAAGGCTCAATAACTTGTCAAAGTCATCGTTAGTGTGAGGCAGAGCGGCACTTGTGGCTCCTGCAGGTCACTCTAAGTGACCTCAGCTTCCTTCTGACCCCGATTCCCTTCTCCACCCCTGAAGCGAAGGTCCCATCTGTCTGATGAGCTCTTCCCTTTCATGTTGAGCTGAAGTGAACTTCCTGTGACTTTCAGGTGTGTGTGAGCCACTGGAGTCAGCTCTGGATGCAGAGGACTCTGGGTGTGACGCTCTGTGTCGTCAGACACGGCACTCCCCAGACCCCAGGAGACTCCTCCAGGAGATCCTGATGGCACCTGTCTTTTAGAGCTATTTGAGGGTCATGTGGTGACCCCATGGAGGCAGTAGGGGTGGGTTCCCTGCCAACTGGGAAAACTGTACAGTCATCTTTCATCATGAGAATTAACAGTCACAAGAAAACCAGAATGTAATTCTTCCATATCTTCGCACTCACTTACGATGGTGGTTTCCCCTGATGTGCAAACAATCCCAGAAACGTGCGTGCATTACTAATAATAAGTTCTCAGGCCGAGGAAGGCGTTCTAACCTACATTAAAATTTTTTTTCCTCATCATTTCAGGGTAACTTTGACTTATCTTCCTGTTCTATTTCAGCTATTTTACCCAACGATTATTAGTATAAAATCACTGTCCTGTGAAGAGACAAAAAGGCAAGGAAACCAAAAGATGTAGGAAATTATTATGAAGGTGGATGTCAGGCACTTAACTAATAAAATTAGTATGTTGCTTTGCTGGATTTTGTAATGTGTGTGATATTTGTCAATTTGAAACACTAAAAAATTTGTTGTGTTTTGTTACTACTCTAAGTATTCACTTTGAAATCAAGTTGGTATTTGTAATTTTTTATGAATTTTCTTAAGGCCCCCAAATTGCAGAATGTCTTTCCAAGCCTGCATCCAGCACAAGTGATTATGTCTTCAAAATACATTAAATAAAAGAAATGATACCGGCGGTTAAAACAGAAAAAGAATCAGGCGTAGCGGTGTGCACCTGTAATCCGGTACTCCAGAAGGCTGAGGCAGGATGAGAAGTTGGAGCCCAGCTCTGGCAATTAGCAGCTTAGAAAGACCAGATTCAAAATAAAAGCACAAAAAAGTATAGGTTAGCCAGGCATGGTGGTGCAGTGCTGTAATCCCAGCACTCGGGAGGTTGAGGCTGGAGGTTTGCCTCAAGTGCAAGGCCAGCCTGGGCTACAGAGTGAGTTCAAGGCCAGCCTAACTACATAGCAAGACCCTGTCGCAAAACAACAAACAAATCCCCTTCCTCCCTTCTCTAACAAAACCCTATTTGTTTCTTTGTTCTTTCTTTCTAGGAGCCAATGTACCCCGCCCCATATATTTTTTAAAATTTAAATTTCCCAGCCTTCCCCAAAGCCAGGAGTGGCCATGTGACACTGTTCTAATCAACCAGATAAAACAAGTCTCCGGGTAGAGTTTCTAGAAAAGTGGTTACAAACAGCTGGTGGGAGGGCACCTTCCGCCTCTCCCCATCTTGATTGGAATGGTAAGGAGGACAGGCAGCCCTCTTGTCACCTTGAAGATATTATGCAAAAAAAATCTGGATACTGAACATGAAGGAGTGAAAGACGATAAAGTAAGGGATGGCCGGCCTTTGGGTTTCCCATTAAGTGACAAAAAGATTTGTTTAAGCCATTGTGTAATTGTGGTTCTGTTTACTCAGAGCCAAACCCAACCTTATGAAAATACCCGAAAAACGAGGGGTTTAAATAAGAGAAATTCAGTATCTCAATCCTGCAGGCTAGGAGCCTGTGCTCTCCGGGTCAGCAGGGTGGTGTCCTGAGAAAGTGCCAGGGACAGGGTGCCTGAGGCCTCTCTCCCTGCTCCCTATTGGCATGTTGCCAGTCTCCGGCATCCTTGGCTAGCTTCTGCCTCAGCCTGACCACATGTATGGGTGTTCTCTTTGCGTGCATCTGGGGTCCCCCCAGCTCCCCCTTTTATAGGGACACCAGTCAGACTGAAGGACCCACCCTATTCCAGCATGACCTCATCTTATCATGACATCTGCAGTGACCCTATTTCCAAACAGGGCCACACTTGGAGGCACAGGAAGTTAGGACTTAATCACTGGGGGAGGGCACAATTCTGCCCCTAAAATCCGAGCCTCAGACCCGATGGTTTTTCCCTCCTGCCCATGTCTAAGCCTTGGGCAAGTCCTAAACTTTAAAAGTGTTGCCACCTTGGATTCTTACTGCCATACAGGCTGTGGGTACTCAGCACAGGTAGAGCCCAGACAGCTCCGGCTCCAGCTTGAGGGGGCAGGATACCAAGTGTCATCCCTGTCAGGAACAAGAAACAAAAATCACTGAGCTCTAGGATTATTTGTTACTGCAGCTCAACATAGTTTAACCTGACTCATGCATTTTAAAACTCAAACCTGGTCCCATGGACCATCCTCCCTGAGATAGTCTCAGGGTGAGCTCTGACCTCTCTCTCCAGCCTACAAGACCTCACAAGTGCTGCCTCTGCCCACCTCCCTATCCTCATCTTTCCACACTCTTCTACTCATCTCTCTGCTTCCAGGGGACACCCCCCGTATCCTTCAGACTCTCAAATGTGTCCCATTTTTTGGAAGAGTGCTAACCAGCTTCTCTCTCTCCTCCCTGCTAGCTCGTGAGCCCACGCTGGTAGTGACTTTCTCTCTCTTTGGTACCCCTAGATTTAGGGACTGCCTGTGACATAGTAGATGCTCAGTAAATAGCTTTGTCCGACGCTCAAGGATTTGTCTTTGCCTGGTCAAACCCTGCCCTCCTTCAGGACTCAACCTGACATTGCATTGTTCTCAGAAGCACTGTTCGGTGAGGTGTTTGACCCCTCGGTGAAGATTAGGATTGCCTGGGTTGGGACACCTGCTCTGTCACTTGCTAATTCTGTAGCCTTGAACCTTACCCTTTAACCCCCGACCTTCAGATTCCTTGTCAGTACAAAGAAGGAAATGCACACCCTCCGGTGTTACATCTGCCTTGCCCACTGCTTGGCCTAGGAGGGCCTCCATCCCCCGCTAGACAGACATCCCCCTCCGCCCCCCTCCCCGCTCCCGGGGTATGAACGTCGAGAAGGCAGGGACGCTCTCGCGGGACCTTTACCCTCATGGGAACCTAAAAGCCCCTCCCAGGGGTGCTCGGTTGCAGCGGGACTCCGGGCTCCGGGCCCAGTGCGCACGCTCGGCCGCGGGCCTCCGCTCTCAGGGGTAGAACGGCGCCCGGCGTCGGCCACGGGCGGGGCGGGGCGGGGCGGAGACGGGCGCCACGCCCCCTCCCTGACTGGCGGGAGAAAGAACCAATCGGAGGGGCGCCTCGGGAGGGGCGGGGACGTACCGGGAGCCGGCGCCCGGCGGCCGCGGGAGCTGCAGCCGCCAGCGTGCGGCATTCGCCGGTCGCCCGCCCGGGCCGGTCCTGCAGCCGCTACTGTCCTGCGCATCATTTGCTTTTCACTATATTTTTTTGCATACATTTATTTTTCTATTCCACTTAGTCCTTTTTAAAGCGGCGGAGGCAAAGGCGACCGCGGCGACAGCGGCGTGCGCGCGAGGCGGGGAGGGGCGGCCGGAGGATGCGGCTTGGGACTGCGCTCGCGACGCCCGCCTCTGCTGCCCGGCTCCGGCCGGGACGCCGAGCAGGTGGGTACAGGTGCGCTGGGAGAGGGGACCCGCGGACCGCGACCGATGGGCGGGCCCGGCTGCAGGGG